GTAGTACACTACATAGAATCTTTACAAAAAAAAGACAAGGTTGGGAAGGAACAACAAAGCAACGTAGTGTATCAAATAAATTGCAAATTCAAATGAGACGAAAAGTGCAATAAATGCTACATTGACACTACGAAAAGAGCGCTAAGCATAAGAATTCACGAGCACAAAATGGACGCAAAAAACAGAAGGATGACAACAGCCAGCGCTGCCGAAAGTTGTCGCTGCAAGTTCGTCAATTTACCCCAAAAATCGTCATTTCGGTAAAAAAAAAAAAGTCAAGATTTTGTTTATTATACTTTTTTTAACAATAAATATAACTAACAAAATAAATTCAATAAATATGACCACACAAAACATAACCATGGGTTAATAAAAATGAATTTGTAATTGTTAACGACAATTTAAATTACAATTCGAGGATTCCCTTAAACGCGAAGAGTGCAAAACTCTAAAACCTCGAAACTTTTCGAGGCTCTTTTGGGAATGCGCCCTTTTGCAGCCTCGAAAACAATGGCGAAATTCAGAAATTTGACTAAACTGTCAGAGTTTCCTTGTGTAATAATAGTTCGTACTACCTGAAACAAATATAAAAGTAAAAATATAAACCAAAACGCCAAGACTGAAATTTAAGACGACTTTTCGAAGGCATTTTCGTGATTAGATTTAGGGATGGGCGATGATGAGAAATCATCGATTTTTTCATCGATGATGACATCGGAAGGTCAACATCGATCATCGATTTTACTCAATATCGATATCATTCTCAAATACGGATTTGTTCTCGTACTTATCAAATGTGAGCAGTTCTGTTGGAAACGTTCGCGCAACTTTTTACATTATTTGTTCTCATGTATTATTTCCTCGAAATTATGTATAAGAGTTTCAGATTTGTTTAAAAACATTTTATTAAGAGACTTAAAATCAAATCAAATATTTTACTACCTACGCCTTTTTTATGAATGATTGTTTTACACATGTTCAGATATATTGTCACCTGAAATGCAACAGTGCAACCGTATGAACGAATATTTCGAATCATCGACACTTCGATTATGTGTGCATAGTATCGGTGTGCCGATGTTCGACATAGTCCGCAATCGATTATAAAACATCGATATTTTACGTCTTATCATCGATAAAATCGAATATCGATGAATATTGGACATCCCTAATTAGATTGTCTACTCCACTGGTTTGAAGTTTTTGAAGATTTTGATCCAGTTTAAAAGTGTAATATTAGCATTTGTTAACTAATAGATACTCTTGTCGCTATTTTTATTACCTTCCTTTTTTTAGCACGCGATGTAACTATGTAATATTCTCAAGTTACGTACCTGAGGCCAGTACGAATGGAAATTATAATAGCGAGGTTTTAGTTTTTTAAACTATAATTTTATTCTGTCCATTTCAAAAAAATAGCGTCGGCAGCGTTGCGGCGAGCTTGAAAAAAGGTATCAGTTGCCAAGCAAAAAAGGATCAAAAAGTATCAAAAGACACAACGTCAAAATGACGACAAAATCGTAAATTCGGAAACGCTGACAACAGCCCAAGGCGAAGAATTTTTGAGCGTAATTTTTGCGTAACGTCATCTTGGTGCAATTGCGAGAGAGAAATGCAAAAACCCATAGGAAAATATGTACACAATGCGGAATAATATCTATGTATATTAAATGGTCCATTATTGCAGGAAATAACAAAAATATACAAAGTTTAATTAAATAGGAACACGTAGCAATGATTTTCGGCATGTAGTCCTTTAGTTAAGTACGATTTCTGCACATGCCGGATGTTGGAATAATGCTTGAAGTAGTTATTTGCCCACTGTTTTTGGGTTAGTAGGCGGAGGGGAATTAGGCGTGGGTCTTGATATGTACCCTACTAGCAAGAGCACAATTCACGCTTTGTAAATACCCTGCAGTGAAAAGCCAAACCAGTTAGAAAAAATACTAGTTCCATAACTAGTATGTGCCTACCAGTTCGACAATTTCGAAGAACTTAGGCGATCAGCGACATCTGCCTTTGAATTGCCAAAGCCAAAAATAAAACTCAATTAATTGCTTTTCTTACAAATGCCGGCTGTGTCGTCACGTGAAGACTACTGGTTCTGGTTCTGAAATCGCAGGTTCGAGGCCGCTTGGAGGTGGTTAAGATTTTAAAAGTTCAATAAATGTAAGTAAAAATAATTTATTCAATTTATAAATAAATAACAAATTTGAAAATCTAATTGCATTGCAAAAGAACATTTAGGAAGAAATGCTTGTGCTATAAAAACAAAGAAATTAAACAAAAATATTTTTTTTTATTAAATTTAAAAGTTACAATACACAGCCTAAACAAAAAAATAAATTTATAAAAAATAAAAATAAAATAAAAAATAGAAAATAAAAACACTTTCCCTGCACCAGGATTTGAGCCTGGGACCTCAGGCTTACCACGCGAGTGCTTTGCTCTGTCGGCCATTGTGACTGCTGGAGCGTCGCGAGCAAAAAGGCACACTTATGCTTTTCACGGGGCATAAATTGGCAGACTATCTCATCAACTGGTATGATGCTACTAGTATTTATACTAGTAGATGCTGATGCATAGCCTGACAATTGACATCTCGTAGGACATCGCAATGTTAAAAATACCAGTCGCTAACATTGAAAAAGGATAGAACGTGAACTAGTTGGGCTGAAACCCTAACCGGTAGAATTCTAGTTCACACCTAGTAGCTTTCCCTGCAGGGTATTTGCATTTGTACATGCCACTTTCTAGATTTGTTTCTGTACAAAGCAGATGCACGTACATACGAAATAGAAATGTTTATATTTTCATCTGAATCATCTGAGTTTAGTTTATTTCGTATTAAATAGTTAAATAAAGAGTGCGCATTTGATAGACATACGCAATTACATATGTATGGAAAAAGTCACATTTACAGATGCAAATACATGTCGTGTAAGAACGCCTTTAGAGTATGCATATGCCCTGAGAAACCACATTTGTTAAATGGAAATGAAGGTTCATCATTTATACTGGCATGTATACATAGCGGCAAGCTCATGCCACCAATGCCACCAACAGCGATGCCGTATGTACATATACAATTTCTACTGGGATTAGCATTTTGACACCGGAAATGTAAACTTGATAAGCAGTATTTTTGTGCAGAACACCTTTCTATTGTCAGAGGTATTCAAGATTTGAATTTATTAATAAATTAGTGACCGAAAATTATAAAATTACATTTTACAATAAAGTGTAGACCTTTTACTACAAGTGTATGTAACATTAACATTTGAAATGGTTGAAGTTTGCAACCTATTCGTTTGGCAGTCTCCCACACAAACTTATTGTTGTTTATTCAGTTTATTCAGTCTATGATTACAATCTTACATACTAGATAAAAATAAGACTATCGTAATTAAAACTAAATACTAAAGATTTAGATACACAAGCACTTATAAGAATAGATATAGATCGACTCTTTGAGATCTTGTTAAATTCTGTCAGAGCGTGGAAAATCGGATCAAAATGGTAATAGTTAGCTTTTGTAGCACGCAAGTAAAACGGCAGAGATGAGCGTAGAAATCTGTGAGGCACATTAAAGGATATCTTCTCCCTACAAACGAAAATAATTTACATAAACAGCTGATAATGATGCAATTAGTTATGTTCAGAATTACCTTTTCGTTTTTATTTAAGATGTGTCCGATGGCAAGCTATGGACATACATTTACTCTGCGATCACTTTGCTTCCTTTCCGGAAAATTTTGGTAGATTTTTAGCCAATGGTAGAAAATGTAATATAGCTAAAAATTAAGTGGTAAAGTTCGTGCACTGGTCGCTGGGTCGAATCCCAGGGAATTCGATGAAGAAGTCTGATGAGGAGATGTGGCGATCTCACAAATTGCAGCTATAACTTCTACCATTTATAAAGCTATTGTGGCTTTTTCCACAATAATTTTTCATACAAAACGGCCTCTACCTCATTAAAGATTGTTTAATATGATTTGTTGGGCAAAAAAAATAAAAATTTATAAATGAAAAAGTTTATATATAGAAGTTTTTCCAATTTTCACAATATCGCAAATAGTCCACAGTTTGTTTTAATTGAGAAGTTGTAATAAATACCACCAGCAATATGATCCATTATTAAAAATTTATAGAAAATCACACAATTCCACAATGAGGTTTTCAGAAAGTATGAAAATCTATTAAAATATTTTTGAGTTCCAGTAAGAATGTAGAGCATAAAAAAACTTTTGAATCAGAGCTTTGCGGATATTTTTTATGTTGATAAATTACCCTCTTCTAAAAATGCTTAACTATTTTTTTTCAACCTAGCTTGTTCCACACGACACACTGTGCATCGATGTACCACTGCATGGTGCTGGCCTTTAGATACATAAATATTCATTTAATAATATTCACTAAAAAAATTTCGTAGAATTCTTACAAATTGCATATTTATTTCTTCGATTTAAATACATACATACATACTTAGGGCCGTTTTCTCATCTAACCTTTAGTTTACCGGCCACTTTATCGTCCCGATATACGAGTTTTCGTTTTCTCATCAGCGCATTAAATTCTCGAATCGATAAACTGTTGCTCACCCGATGCAACCTTTAAAATTTGTACCCAACTTTAAATTTTGGTTTGGTTTTGGTTCATGAGCCAGCTATATTAGATATTTCAACCAAAGGTTTTGGTTTTTTGCTAACAGTTGCTCTTGCTCTATATTTGCTTATGTTGCATTGCCAACCTTTGAAATTATATGACGAATGTAGTGAAGTTTCACTCTCGGAACTGTAGTGAAGTTTCACTCTACGAAATAACAAATTTATTTTTACCGGTAAGATAAGAAAATTAAAACACTTTAAAGTGAGGAACAATTTATCTGCCCTGTTAGTAAAGGCAACTTTACTGCTTACATTAGAAAATGGCCCTTATTATGAGGCGTAGCTGCGTGCGAATATACAAAAATACATGCATATGTTTATGTATACGAGTAAATACTTGAATTTGTATGTATGAAATTGGTATTTATGTACATACGTATGTAAATAGATATGTATATAGTACATATGCTTGGGATTTTTATGGACATTAAATAGCTATTGCTCAGTACAAAATCGTGGCTTACGATATGCTTATCAATATAATTTGATACATACGAATTATCAAATGGAAGAAGGAGAATATGTTATCCATAACATACTTTATAGGGGAAGGAGGAGTCCATGGATACGTTAATCACTATTTTTGTTGCACCAGTTTTTAGCACAGTTAGTCTTATGGAGTATGAGTATGTCCTTACATACCTTACAAATGAATAGAAATACATACATACATGAAATACAAATTTAATTGCCGGAGGATACAATGGTATTAGGTTTAAGACATACAAGTACAAAGATATTTGTAAATTATTTTGAGCTGCGGATTGCACAATTGGCCATTGTAGCCTGTTTCTTAACTAATTTTTGGTATTTTACCTTTGGTTTCTTCAATTTTCTCACTTAAGGCGATGCTACGCAGGCGATTATATGATCCCTGGTCACCAATTGTTGTTGCTCTCACTGCAAAACGAAAAAATTAAGAGCGAGCGAGAGAACTGAACGCATGAGTATTGGAGCATGGAGTATTTTTCATACCATTTCTCCTTTTAGTAGCAGAATGCTACATCTTTGCTGCAGATGTGTACAAAGTAGTACATACATATGTACATATGTAGAATAAACCTAATGATAGCAACTCTTGTTTTGTTTGCTTTTGACATGTTTTTATACACATACATACATATGCCATTTCTTATTTTTTTACGTCATATCATAACACATATCGCACTCTAAATAAAAAACCGGTACAACACAAAATTTGTCAAAATTTATTTTTTTTCCATAAAACGTCCGCGAACATTTTTTCTTCATCACTATCTTCTTTAACTGGAAAAATACTACTAAAACTTCTTAGTTTTGCTTGCGTCGATTGCGCAGCATCAACAGTTTTTTGCCTCTGCTGAACATTTAGGATTTTTTGAGTTGTGACGGTTTTTGATTTAGTGTGCGATATTTAAAATATAGTAAAATAATATACCAAAGAAATGCAACCGAGCTAAAGAAGTACGCTGGTCGTTTGACCCTCTGCAGAACATCATGTTGGGCAAAGAGAGTAAAAATGGAAAAAATTAGAGAAAAAGTTCCGTGACCGGGGATCATATGACCGTCTGCTTAACAGCGCCCTTAGAGATTTTATACTATTTGATATCTATTGTTACGTAATAACTAGAATATACATATGTAGTTACATAAGCCTTAACTGTTACACTTACAAGTAGTTTGAGCTCGCATAATGTCGAGTGTTTAAATACTTTCGTTAGCTAATTCTAAAGAGTGCGCGTGTGTGTGTGACAGCGCACGGATTTCGTAAACGCCATTGTGCTTCTATTTACATACAACCTTTGGATACACAGTCTCCGCACTACCACGTATAGTTCATTTGTAGTGATAGCGCAGAGATTCAACATCCGATTCTTCGTCGCTAGATGAGGGGGGCGTTTCCAGATTCGCCACGGCCACGTCCAGATAATCTTCATTTGCCAAGAGCAATTTGTCTAAGTTCTCGACGATCTCAGCAAAAGTGGGTCGCGCGCTGGCATCGAAATGCCAACACTGACGCATTAGCATATAAATGTTCAGTGAGCACTTAGGCGGTTTTTCCATACGCTGCCCTGACATCAGATAGCTGTAAAGCTCTTCGGCGGACATGATGGTGGGATATGGTTGTGCACCAAAAGTCATAATCTCCCAGAGCAGTATGCCATAAGACCAGACATCACTTTGCGAATCATAGAATTTGTCCTGCAGCGATTCTGGCGCCATCCATTTGATGGGCAAACGACCATTGGTATTCTTTCGATAGTAGTCGGTGTCCTGTATGTCGCGTGCCAAACCGAAGTCAGCAATCTTCATGACATAGTCATCGCTAACCAATACATTGCGCGCGGCCAAGTCGCGATGTATGCAACGCCGAGATGCCAAGTACTCCATGCCGCGCGCGATCTGGAAGGCGAACGAAATGAGATGCTTCTCGGTTAGAATGTGCTTTGGTAGCGGCAACTGATGCTGTTGATCGCCATAATCTTTCAGTGTGCCTGCAGATAGCGGCCTATTTTTGTTGAGGAAATCCTTTAGGTTACCATGTGGTGCGAACTCAACAATCACGTAAAGTGGGCCGTTTTGACTGCAACAGCCAAGCAAATTGATAATATTGATATGCTTACCGATGATTTTCATAACTTCCATTTCGCGCACTAAACTTGCAATATCATCATCGGTGTGTCCTTCTTTCACCATTTTAACGGCGACAATAGAGTTATTCACTTCGGCCATGACGACGCGGCCAAAAGCGCCTTCGCCCAGTGTAGCGCCTAGTATCAGCTGCGAGCGCGGTATTTCCCAGTTCGAATCCAGCGGGAACTCATACTCATTGAATGGTGCCGGCTCCGAGTTGGAGCTCTGCAACACGGTTGTGCGTTGTTTTTCGATTTTCACCACCGGCATTATCATGGTGTCCATCGAGCCGCTGGAATCGCCACTTGGCGGTTTATAAATTATCACTTTCTTTGTCCACTGATGCACTGTTTCAATGCGTTGTTTGAGTAGCTTTTCGTGTTTAACTTTGCGCAACACATATACGAAGAATGTGATGCAGACCAACCCCAGTAGCACCATGACGGCCACGACACCCCAAATCTCATATCCGTGCATAAATTTCGCTACAGCGCGTACACTCGGGTCTTGCACATGCAGGTAGGCTTTGCTGTAGGATTGGCCCAGGCCATTCATTTCGATGCAGGTGTACCAGCCTTCATTAATAGGTGTGACATTCGTAAAATTCAAAATGTCTATGTCTTCAGCGTGTTTCAAAAAGGTGTAATTCTTCGAGCATGCAGTCTTGTTGCATGGCGTGAAAGTCCACGTTTTCTTGCTGTAAAGGTCTGACAGAAAGACACATTCCATTTGGCCGCTTGCATTTAAGGGCAATGTTAGATTAGCTGGAGCTTTTAGTATGATTGGTTTGTGGTTGACGCGATCACTGATGATCAGCTTTGTTGCATGTTCAATGCAACCCAGGTAATTACACACCCTGCACTTGTATACGCCAGAGTCCTCAGGCACCAGATCCTCCATGTTGATAGCCCATTTTGACTTCTTAACGCGTCCCATATGACGGTTGATCTTTGTGTCATTGCGCGTCCACGTGATGTTTGGCTCTGGTTTACCAACAGCCGGGCATGTTAACTGTATATAACTGCCCGAAGGTTTTGAGTATATATTCGGAGGAGGCTTTGACGACTTGAAGCGTGGTGCGAAATCCGGGATTGACTTGCTACCGTTCCTCGCCTGACCGCCTCCATCTTCGCCGCCAATGCCGTCGATGTCGCCGTTTTCAGCTGCTGTCTCTGCATTAACATCCTGTTCGCTACGCTTCTGCACCTCGAATATACTATCGTCGTAATCGTTTAGCTCCTGTGAAGTGGGCTTCCGGGCAAACACCGGATCGAGCCGATTCAAAATACAAAACAAAAGAATACTGAAAGTGAATAGCTTAAAGAGTTCCGTAAATGCAGCCATTGCGGGTGTAGCTGCGCGTATGACTATTCCTGCGCGGCTACTGAACGCATATGTTCGTCTGCTGGTTGCTGTGGCAACTTCGCTGCGACGATGGCGTCTATTTTTGAAATTTATGTGACGATGCTGTGGTTTATGGCTCGTCTTGTCGGAGTCTATGACCGTGGCACCCGTACTTTGCCTCCAGCGGCAGCCCGAGTGGTTGTGGCTGTCTGTTGCTGTAGTCTTGTTGTGCACTGTACTCGTTGTTTTTGCAATGTTTGTAGGTGTGTCGCGTGTTGAATCCATTTTTAGTTGCACCCGCCTGTTTATTTTTGTAAATGCCTCGCAAGGGGTGCACGTTGACACATGTGTTGTGAATATGGTTTCGTCATTCGGCTGCTTTAGCATCTTGAGCGCGCGTTGTTAGTTCTTCGGATGACTTCTTGATTCACCGGAAATCCACTTTAGTTTCTTTTAATTTGAGACTTTCTATTTCTTCTTTTAATTTATTACTGCTTCTTTACCACTTAGAGAAGCTGTACTTGTTGTTGGGTGCTGTTCTACTTCTAGTTACTACAATTGTTGTTGCTGGCTTTGCATTTGCACGCACTTTTTTGGATTGGAAGCAACATGTGTTTTTCCCGTTTATCATTTGGTGTTCGACGTTTGATGTTTGATTACTTTGCGCCGCTGCGATGATCCACTGAGCGATTTCATGTGACAATCACCTTTGGAGCGGAAATATCTAAATGATGCAACCATACAACCGACGAAATATTGTTGCTACTTTGGTGTATTTTCAGGCTTGCGGTGGAGTCTCGCTGTTGTTACTGTTGATGGATTTACTTCTTTTATTTTTGACGCTTATCTGCGGTATTGCAGTTGTCAAATTGTTTGATGACAGAATTGTTGGCTTTTCAAAGGGCTCTGCAATATAAAAACAAAAACAGGAAACGAAATAATAAAACATTTTTAGAAGCTTACGATATTATATATTTTTCTCTGAAGATATCCTTAAAATGACCATATATTTGATACAAATTATCCTTCGTTGTAAAATTGTTTAGAAAATACTGATTTAATATTTTTCAATTTGCAAACATTAAACATTTTTATACCTTTCGTGAACATGAAATGGTATTAAAATTTGGCCCGATGTTTGGAAGTACCAGAAGAAGAGGAGATAGACCTATGAGAAATAAGTTAACATTGTTAAAAAAGCTAAAACAGTTCAAAGTTGATCTAAACACAAGACAAACAAGTTAATAGTACACTGTGTTGCATAATTATAAGACCGAAAAATATTACCGTTGATTTCAGACAATTTTTTTTATTGACAGTGTTGTTCAATTTCTCTCATATAAAACAAATCTAAGATAAATCCTTTGGTTCTTTTCCAGCACATCGAGAGTTATTTTTACTGATGACATGTACTTACATGTTAGAATTTTTAGCAGTGTGCATGAAAACCCTCAAATTCTTTAATTTAGAATAGAATTTTTATTTAAAAACCAATAGACGCTAGAAATGCACGGTACTGCTTAGAAAAATTATAGAAGTAATCTTCTCGAAAAAAGTTCGTAATGAAATTTTTTATTATTTTTTGGCAGTGTGGTACCTATACGTACCCAAATTGCTAATTAGATTTTTAAGGGGAAACCCAAACAATTTTTTAAGCAGATTTGCGCTCTAATTCAACGAACACACTTATTTTAATCCATCTTGCAAAATCTATTATCAAGATGGAAAATACCCGTACACAAATATTGCCAGTGATACACATATCTGGCAAACAGAATGACATAAGGTTGGCAATAGTTGAAAAATGACGACAAGGAGGACATTTTTGCTCAAAAGGAGGACAAACAAGGACACAATTTTTGAAGAGGGCGAATCACGTTTCAAGGGCACAATCCTCCTCAAAGGAAGACGGTTGGTCAGCTTAACTAACTGTATATCTCAAGACATCATTTGGTTATAGTTACATTATTTGGTTATAGTTACCAAATCATGTGTTGAGAGAAATATATTTAGTTGACGGTTTTTTCTGAGTGTAGTCACTCAGATTTTTGAGTTACCCGACTGAAAATTTGGAGAGTAGGTGTATTTTTACAATGTATTAATACTACTATAAGTAACTCTGAGAAGAGAGTTTAGTTAGGTCAACTAACTATGGTTCTTTCAACAAATGATTTCGTTGTAGTTACATTATTTGGTTATAGTTACCAAATCCTGTGTTAAGAGTAATATATTTAACGAACTCTTTTCTTAGTGACACGATAATAATAGTTTGGCGCTTACACAATATTCTAGTGTGTGGCCGAGCTTCTCCTCGTGCTTCTGGCGTGCGTCTTGATGATACCACATCAGAAGAAATACCCTGTTAGGTTTGTCATTGCCTTCTTCTTTTATTTTTTGATGTTAGTCTGAACCTGGCCACTACACCACAGCAGCCGCTGAGAAAAATTTCCAATGCATGGAGCGCGTACTACTATCGAAAAGTGGCCCAACCGACTTCGCTGCTGCTGGAAGGCAATTGGCGGTCATTTCAAATTTGATGTTGTACAATCTTTAGCGTTTGAGTTAAATGTACAACAAATAGAAAACAAACGTTAGAAAATAAGCGCTCATTTTCATTTTATTAGCCAAATACCATGTACCAAAACAATTGCTAGTACCAAATACATATCGCACATTTGCTGCAAGAGTGTCAAAGTGCAAAAAATTAAAAACTGGAGAAATACAGCTTTAAAGTTATGAATTTACATAAGTACACTCACCGTGTAAAAATTAATACATATTTTGTTTTAGTGAGCTACTGGTAATCGGTACAGCTACATAAGAAATTTTTAAACAACATATGTAGAAGAGCAAGTAGCAGTAATTTCTTCATACTTAATTTTTAACCGACTATCAAAAAAGGAGGAGGTTATCAGTTCGTCGGAATATTTTTTTTTTATGTTACCGCATAACTTTGGACCACGTCAACAGATTCTACCGATAATTATTTTTGCATCGGAAAGGTAGTGTCCCAGAGGTGGTCCCATACTAATCTGGTTAAGATCCGATCAGTGGATCATGAGATATATATATATATATATATTTTTTATATGAGAGTTGAAGTCGGTTTTTTTTTTTGCTAAAAATTACTTGTTTATTATGTATTTTTCGGATTATGACGCTCATACCGCAAATTTGCGATATGTGTATACTAGAGTATTTGATTATTCGGCTTTTTTCCACAACCAGTTTCCGAGTTATTCGAAAAATCACAATAAAAAAAAACGGTTCCCTGTTTTGAAATTAAGAAAAAACCTAATAAACCGTTTTTTACAGAGATTTCATAAAGTGAAAATGCCTATGTCGGTATGAAGACATGATTAAAAATTACCAAGAAACTATTAAAAATAAAGATAGCTTTTATTCAGAAAGGAGGAAAACAAAATAAGCTCAACGTTTGCTTTTAGATCACAAAAAAAAATTATGTTTGGTCTTATTTGAACATTAAATTATTGCAATTTGTGCAATGTGCTCTTGCCGCCGTAGCCGAGGCATCAGATGTACCAACTGCCGTTTGGAAGGCCCATGGTCCAACTTCCGGTCACAGCAACATAAAAAAAAGTTTTTTCAAACAGCGGTCGCTCCTTGGTGGACAATAAAACACCTCCGAGTGTACCGCTGCCATAAAAAAAGCTTCTTCGGAGTGGCAGTAAAAGTGAAGATCTCTCCAGATTTGTCACAACATCAAGAAAGAGAACACGATTTGGAGGAGAACCTCGGCCAAAAACGTAAAAAACATTCATTTATTGAAATCAAATGCGACATACTTATCCAAAAACAAGTAAGAAAGTCTAAGTTCGGGCGGAGCCGCTGTGTATAAATTTTGAGTAAATTAGCGTCCTTAAATTTTGAAATATTGAAGTTTCAAGCATTTCTGAAATTTGCCGTTATATGAAAAGTGGTCGTAATTTGAATCTGATTCCAATAATTTTCAACGTTTTGCTTCTATGGGGCAAGCACAATAATCATACCGAGTTTGGTACAAATTGGTAGAACGGTTACCGAGATACATATATGTGATCATAAGTGGGCGGTGCCACACCCATTTTCCAAAATTTTATCATAACCGTATTTCTTGGTAAAGAATTGTTGCAAGCATAAATTTTGAGTAAATTAGCTTTAATATTTATTGATGTATCGAAGATTTCGCATTTCTCCAAATTACGGTTATATGGGAGGTAGGCGTGGTTATTGTCCGATTTTAAAAATTTTCGGCCATTGGGTATGCTGTAGCAAGACTAACAACTGTGCCAAGTTTGGAAGAAATTTGTGCAGCGGTTACCAAGATATACCCATGTATCCATAAGTGGGCGTGGCTACGCCCATTTTCCAAAAATGTATAATATTCTTATTTTTCGTCTAAAAATTATTGTAAATATCAATTTTGAGTGAATAATCTTCAGTAGTTACTAAAATATCGCAGTTTTCGCATTTCGCATTCGCATTTTCAATCCAATCCGTCCTACGCCCGAAAGAAGTGCACGTACCAAGTTTCGTTAGGATATCTCAATTTTTACTCGAGTTATCGTGTGCACAGGCGGACGGACGGACAGACAGTCACCGCTTAATCGATTTCTCTTTTCATTCTGATCATTTATGTATACATTAGTCTATATCTATCTCGATTCGTTTTGCCTGTTACAAACAACCGTTATGTGAACAAAGTTATAATACCCTTGTGCACAAGTGCGCTCGGGTATAAAAACGGTGGAAATCGGTTTGGAAAAACCGAGTCAATTATCCTAGTGCATGTTTACTCGTAAAAATGAACTACAATCTGCTAAGTATTCACCATGTATTTCGGGTGGCGTCCTGTAGGCCCAAAAATCTATAATTCTAATAGGAATAGGTGATTCTATAGAATGATGAGGAGCAATATTTTCATTTATACATACATATATGTATGCATATTAGGCTGGGTCGATTTTGTATGGGGGAAAATAAAAGTCATTTGACCGCATTGTAATCGTAATATTATGATGTCTTAGGTCTAAGCCAATTGTTATTGGCCAAGAAAGATTAATTTAAAACTTATCTTTAGCCCGCGCAATTGAATCAAAGTGGATAAATGTTGAAAATGAAACTTTGGATTGAAATATCTATGGAATGCGTTATTGTTATGAACGGAACGATATATTATATTAAGGGCTATTAAATTTAGTACCTCACGTTCATTTATCATTTTTCAATAAGTCTATACGTTTTTACGATATTAAGATAAAACTTACAAAAACTATAATTTTCCCTTATGAATTTCCAATTCTTCATTACTTCAGCAAACAAGTGAAAAATACAAAAAAGTGAGACCAGATTTATTTCAAACGTTTTAATATTTTCGGATGTTTATATAATATTAAAATTACCATGGACTTGGTCTCGCCGATTTGGTCAGTCTTCAAGATCGTGGTGAATGAATATATTGTCAAAGAATAGGAATCGTTTGACAAGTTAATAGTAGTTTCAAGCATATAAGTATTTGCATACATTAACATAATACAATTAGGGTGAGAAACGCCCACTTCAAGTCTATTTATGCAGTATTGAAAATTAGTGCGGAATGGTTTCATTAGTCACCAGAGAAGCACATTTTTCGCGGTTTCTAAATTTGCCGTTGTATGAAAGTAGGGGACGTGCAATAAGTGTTTAGATATACATAAATATTTTAGTTAATTCCATTATGTGAAAAAGTGTCTGTAGGTAAACGCAATAGTCTTTAACATATCCTGGGAAATCCTTTTGAGAACTCTCCAATTGGACGATATTGCTTTGCATTCAGCTTTAACGAAAAAAGTCACTCGCACAGTTTTCTGTAATCCGGTTCTTTTATTTAAAGGTTATTTATACAATTGAAGAGAAATTTTTTTAGA